ATTTATTGTCGATGTTTTAGAGATAGTCCTCGATTTCATTTCAAGCGAGAGGTACTGGAAATGATAATTGAAATAGGATGATATTTGAAGATCGAGCTTATTTGACAGTGATGCGTATGTGCAAGTTGTTCATGTAATTGCTATCTGAATTTTGTTATATGTGTAATATTTATTATATATATGACAATGCAAATGTGTTATATAAAACATTTTGAAATTTCATTAAGATTGTAATGAAATGAGACAAAACTATAATAACATTGATCCAGTTTGAAACAAATCTAAAGATACTTAATACAAGTATATATTTCATACAATCTACTATGTAATTATATTTTATATTTTGTAGTATCATTATAATATTAATATATGACAATATAATAACAATATATTATGTTATTACATATAATGTTGTGTATTTATTATTATTATATGAATGTATCATTATCTTCAATAAGAAGACAGTAACAATAAAAAAAATATCATTGTTTTATTATTATATATTCAGTAAAAAGATAGTAACTGTCAGTACTGAAAAGTTTATGCTAAAAATTTGATGATATCAAATATATATATTTAAATATATTTAAATATAATAAATATATATCTGGTAATATATTGACTGATATAATAATAACATTAATACATATATGTTATAAATTAAAATATCAATTTCGAATACTCGCTAGAAAGTCAAATTCCAAGATGTGAGACAGATAACACCACGGAAGACAGACATAAAAATTGCGAACTTTCCATTGCGGATATCTTAAACGTTTCATTCTCGATCTTAAATGTCAAAAACCGTAATTATTATTTTCCACGATGGCGACATAACGTTTCTAGATAACGTGGCAACTTTCAGCAACTTGCAGCAACGTCTCGACTAACGTGCGATCTGTTTTCCGATGCAATGATAAAATCGTTCAGGTAAAACCAGTTTCTTCCTACAGTCGCGACGAATTCTAAATTCCGTGATCGCTGGGCCATCGAGAGACGTTTTATTTTAGAACATTGTCAGTGTGTTCTATAGGTAAAAAAATAATACTGATATATCTGTGTAGCAAAAAGTTTATAAACATTTCATTAATAAATTATAATGAAGGTATGAAATCTAAAGTTGTATTTAAATAAAATGGTAGGTTGTAACATAAATTCGTCCTGTTTACATATTTATTATAGTGATATTACATAGATGTAATTGAATAATTTATGCTTGATATATAGGTATATAATTATACATTTGTACGATAATTATTTTATAATATTTTATAACATTATATTTTTATATTCTATTATATTATGTGACATTGTATTTATAGTAATTGTTGAATATTATTGTAACGATATATAGGTAAAAAAATAATACTGATATATCCATGTAGCAAAAAGTCTATAAACATTTCATTAATAAATTATAATGAAGGTATGAAATCTAAAGTTGTATTTAAATAAAATGGTAGGTTGTAACATAAATTCGTCCTGTTTACATATTTATTATAGTGATATTACATAGATGTAATTGAATAATTTATGCTTGATATATAGGTATATAATTATACATTTGTACGATAATTATTTTATAATATTTTATAACATTATATTTTTATATTCTATTATATTATGTGATATTGAATTTATAGTAATTGTTGCATATTATTGTATATAATTTGACAAATATAAACATAATATAAATACAAATTTAATAAACATACAAATAGGATTAATTTAAGGATTAAATTTTATTATTTAATCCTTAATAAGGATTGCTATTGAATTTACTATAGACAAAATTTCATACTTGTCAATTTCAAATTTCTTCCCACATAGTTTTGATTCTTGAATTTATCATTTTGTATTGTAAATTTTTGCTTTTGAGGATAGTGAATATTTTTTTCATAAGAAACCTGAAGATGTAAAATCTATCTGGTGACTCGAAAGACCAGGAGAAATAAAATTAATCGTACTGATCATATTTGTACTTCGTTTGCACTTTGAAATTGCAAAGGTGCTGAATTTAGTTTCTACACCTGATGGAACAACTTTTATATTGAAGAAACAACTGCAGATTCGAAACGGATTGCTAACAGATGAAATCTACATAGTATAGAGAACAGACCATCTAATTGTAAGTATAAAATCATACCGAGGAAACTTGGTCAAAAGCCAGGGAATGTTAATCACGTAGATAGCTTGATCTTTCTCTACGCAGAATCGTGACGGATATGTAGAACTAGAGTAAAGTACCAGATGTGGTTTAACGATTGGAACGAGCACGATTCAGACTATTACCTTTGCAGTCAATCACCCGCGTTTGTACATGATCGCGCGGAGTAAGCTGTTCTCTTTGGAAATTTGTATTCACATTCACGCAGAATAACATAATTATTACGACAGATTTTTTTTCTATTTGGATTTTCAGTTAAATTTTATTATTAATTTTTTTAATTGATCTTCACGCTTTGTGCTTATTTAGTTTTCTAAATTGATTAATTCGAATTTTTATTAATTTTTTAATTTCATTAGACAAATACAGGTTTGATATTCAGTTCTAAAGAAACAAATAACTTTTCTTTATGAATTCATTCGTTGTAAACATATGTAATGGTAAATTCCAAGACAAATTTAAAAAGATGTGCTTGAAATATTGTCACTTCTGCTTATCGTGCTTCTCAGTTCATAAAGTTGATCAATATACCTTATGAATAATTTATTATGATAAAGTATACAAATAATTATTATGATTAAATTTTTGTTTAAATTTCATTATTTTTAATTTTTCTTAAGAGTTAAATACTTGATTGAATTTTTGATTAGATTTCATTTCTAATTTCATTAATAGAGTGCAGATATACATATATGCATGTATCATATTGCTATGTTTCTATGAATTGTAATATATTATGTACATATTACAAATTTGTAGAAATATAATTATTACGTTTCTATAATTAAAGAAATGGAATCTAAATAAAAAGTTTGTTCTGTGAATTAGATATTGGCTATTCTATATATGTTTTTATACATTTTGTAAATCTTTTATTTTCAAATTTCTCAAAAATACATAAAAATCAGCGGACTGTTTAAACGGAAACATATAATTAGAACAGATAAAAATACCTAAGTATTTTTAAATGGAATTACGTAACATTTAACACACTGAAATATCGAAATTGTATTACTCTATTTATGGCAAAAAAAAAAAGACACTAAATTCAGTAAATGTTTCAGTTTCAATTTTATAAAATTTAAGACTAAGCTTTTCCGACACTAAATTCAGTAAATGTTTCAATATCAATTTTATAAAATTTAAGACTAAGCTTTTCCATTAAGGCAATGAGTTTAACGCACGTCGGAGGCATTCGACTATACGGTATACATAATCAAGCAATAAAATTTTCTAACTTGTCCGACACGAATATCGCGTTATAAAACGTCGAGTAAAAGTACAGATGCTTGGACCCTTATCGTTTATCAACTGATTTAGCCGCCTGAAAGAAAACTGTGGCACGAGTAACGTGGCTCCGCTTCCGCGTACGTATGTAGTGGAACGCTTATCGTATATCGAAATCCCGACATAAACTACATCTCTAGTCCGCGAGACTCTAAACCCGTTGTTTGTACTACTGCTACGGAATTTTCTAACGGCGCGTTAGCGCGTTGATATCGACGAATGATAAACGATATCAAACGTTTCTCAACCACCGAGCGACCGTTTCCTGTTTAGCAAGCAAACGATGGTCGAACGTTTGTACGTTCCGCAAATAATTAATTTTATATTTAAGATCATATTATATTATTCATTTCGCATTTATATATATATATATATATGCGAATATAATAAGTATGATATAAATAAATAATATAGCATAGATATATGCTATATTATTTATTCATATCATACTTACTATATTTATTATAATTAGTTTTCCAAATATAGTTGCAAACGCAGAAATATTTCAAACCATATAAATAGTCTTAGCCTTTATATGTATATAAATATAAATCAATAATCAATAATTTAATCAATAATAATTTTACATATAAAATTTACATTACATTAAATTATTATTAAAATTCAATCAGCTTTTCGAATTTCGCGCGGAAATACGCAATCTTTCTTACGCAGTTCAAAATCTTCTAAAGATTATTAACATACAAAGGATTATTCACTTTACATCTATTTAGAGTAAATTACATGATTCTGATTGTTGTTATGATTATCATTATTATTGTTAACTTTTTATTGAATATAAGTACAACCAGCTTCGAAAGTTAATTTTTCGAATTTCGCGCGGAAATACAATCTTGCACAATTCAAAATCTTCTAGGAACTATTAATATTACTAAGGATTATTCACTTTACATCTATTTAGAGTAAATTCCATGATTCTGATTGTTGTTATGATTATCATTATTATTGTTAACTTTTTATTGAATATAAGTACAACCAGCTTCGAAAGTTAATTTTTCGAATTTCGCGCGGAAATACAATCTTACACAATTCAAAATCTTCTAGGAACTATTAATATTACTAAGGATTATTCACTCTACATCTATTTAGAGTATATTACATGATTCTGATTGTTGTTATGATTATTATTATTATTGTATTATTAACTTTTTTATTGAATATAAGTACATATCTCACACTCACCTCATAATTTTCAATCTGTGTTTAAAAGTTCAATATTGATTGATTCAATCAATATAGTATATACTTGTTCGTACGCGATTTTCATTCCTATTCTGAGCGAACGATATTTTCCCCGATTATGTCTGACGAAACCGGCATGCCCGGTGATCACGTTCGACCGATTCATTGACAGAAAGATCCGAATGACCGTTGGGAATGTGTGTGCGCGCGCGGCGCGACGCGAACGATCTCTCTCGTTCGGCCCGGGCCGAGCAGCGCCGAGATTGGCCGAGGCCGGGCGAATGCGGACGAATAGTCGGCTCGAATCGCGCCGCCGCGATGCATCGGTTCGAACGCGCGCACCGGCTGGCTGTCTCGCTTGTCTCCCCAGTGCGTCGTTCGGGGCTCCGTCCTCTCTCGTTTCTCCGTCGTTGTCGTCGTCGCGAATCGCGACGGCGCGCTCGCGTGTTGCACTTTTCGAAAATACGCGCGCTACCGGCGACCCGTTGGGGTCGCCCGACACCGCTCGTGCCTGTGTGTCTCTCTCACCGGGGAGCACGGTTCGCGACTCGATGAACTCGTCGTTGCCCGCGTGACACTTGAATACCACCGTGGACGCGTGCGTGACAGGTTCTCTCTCGCTGCGAACTTTACGTGCGAACCGTTTCTGCCGCGCGTGAGTAACGAATGTGTTTCGCGTGAACGTGTCCGCCTGTGTTGTCAAGTGCGTTCGATCGTTGACTGACTTCGGACCGAATCGACGACGAATGTAACTCGAATACTCCGCGTAATGGTAAATTTTGCTCGTTGAACGCGGATAGTGCGACGTATGTGCCGACTGACGCGACTAACCTTTACGTTGATGCACGCGCGTGTCGCGTGGCTGTCTGCGACCTGAAGTTTCCGCCGCACAAAATACGACCTTAGATTCGAGAAGTTGCCCCCCGTGGAGAGGGATCGACCGATTGACAAAGTGGGAAGGAACGATTCCAGAACCGGGCCCGTTATGGATTCCTATCCGATGGTGAGTCCATCTTTTTTCTTTTTTTTTTTTTTTTTTTTTTTTAAAATATTCCTCTCTGAATGTGCTAACACGCTGACACTGTCGTGGTTTTCTTGGGCTCGTTTGAAACCGCCGACGGTGTCGACTTCCGTCGCGCTCGCATTGCCGGGAAATTTCGAGGCTCGTTAACCTATCGCGTTTGAAGTGAGAATCCGACATTTTGTAATTTGCGCTCTCGTATTCGTATTACGTTATATCTGTTAAATGAAGCTTGAACGTGACATGTGAATAAGTGACATTGTTTTGTCGTACGTATTTTTTTCAGCGTGTTTAATATACGATATACCAGAAGTTTATAAATGTAACAAAAATGACGAAAATATGAAATATGATATATGAATAGGTTAGTACTCTTCAAATAGCATCTTTCGGTTATAAATTACGAATTATCGATTATCAGTTTAGTAATATTAGATTGATAAAATTCAGGTCAATTCCACCATTTTTCGTGATGAAGGAAGTAAATAATAAAATCCAGTTGAAATATTAAGTGAATTCGTGTTTCGATCGAAAAATCTGACGGAAATAAGATAAAGTTTTAAATAGTATTGCATCATGTTGTATTTTCTATTTGTGCATGAAGATTTGTGAGACGAAATTTAATTTAATGAGATTAATTATTATCCACATTATCAATTAATATTTAAAATTAATTAATTACATAATTATCTACATATTAATTAATTATATAATATATAACAAATAATTGTTAAATATATGTTATACATATTATATAATTATTATACATATATATGTATATATAAATGTATAAATGTAATATATAATATAATATATTATACATATATATATACATTTGTGTATGTAACATATATACATAAGTATAACTATAATACATATCTATATTATACAATGTATAATATTCTGTACATAGTATAATATATGTATTATATATCGACGTAACGTATTATGTTTATATAATATAATAATTTAGAAATAATAATTTATTATATAATATAATAATTTATAAATAATAATTTATTATATAATATAATAATTTAGAAATAATAATTTATTATATAATATAATAATTTAGAAATAATAATTTATTATATAATATAATAATTTAGAACTGTCCAAATATGTTCTTATGCACGCGCACGCGTGTTTCCCCATATTGTGACTGGGTTAGTCAAATTTCAAGCAAATTGCCCGATCGTTTACGATCTATAATCGGTTTCAAGCATTCCGATCGTTGAAATTTCATCGAATCTGGTAAAGATCGATTATCGAAAGGCGAATGTTGCGTTTTCCAATGTTTGCAACCGATAGAGACGTTTCCTCGTTTTGTTATTGGTAGCGCGCGGTTCGAGCGGAACAGTTCGAGAGGAGCGCTATTATGTCATCAAACGCGCGATAAGCACAATGAGCGCCTAAGGATCGGATATTTTCATAATCGCGAACGAAATGGTAATAATGACCGGCGTTTGCAAGTTACGGTCTCTGGAAAAGGCCATTAGCGAGCCGTGCAGATGTAGCAATTGGCGCGCTTGTTGGCAAAAAAAAAAAAAAAAAATTCAGTCGTTCAGGAAATTGCGATTCATCGCGTTTAACGATCGTACGTTTTTTCATTATTTATTAGTTTTCAGAACAAAGCTGTAGTATTCGTTAAATGAGATACATTTGTTTGCGTGTGTTATGTGAATTATATGGAATTAATAGAACTTTCAAATGATAGAACAACCACTAGTATTGCACGTATAGGTTTGTAATATGAATTTATTACAAACCTATTTCTAGTATTAAATTGCACGCGTAGGTTTGTAACATGAATTTATTTTGTTTATATATTTATTAAATTGTATCATTATAATGATATGTAATAAAATATAATATAAATACAATAACACAATATAAAATATTACATAATAATTATTATATATGTGTAATTATATAATGTCAAGCATAAATTATTTAATCATATGAATATACGTATCAGTTTAATAAATATAGGATGAATTTATGTTACAACGTGGATATTATGATTTCAATATTTCTCAAATTATTCTAATATTTGAAATATAATAAGTTATAACATTTAAATACTAAAATGAATGATTTTCGATATTTAGAAATGCTACGTATTTTGAAACGTTGAAGTCTTTTTGCAATTAAGAAAAACGAGTAATACACATAAAATATTTTAGCACATGATAAGACATTCATAGATAAGATATTCATACACCTAACAGAATACTCAAATATTAGAGATGCGGGAGTTTCTATTTGTTATAATTCATGTGCAGCAAAGTTTAGAAATTTTTCTTAATCTTTAAGCATTAGTGCATATCAAATGTCATAATTTATATTTTATACAATCAGACTTTAATTGCAATTTCTTCGAAATATCATGGACTTGATCAAACTCATATGTTATTCATCACACTTTTCAACAAAATACTTTTTCCCAAACTTGTAAGAATTAACTTAATTAATTGTGCATAAATCAAAACATAAGGCAATTGTATTATAACAGTTTAAGAATTGTAAGAATTTTTGAGTGTTCAAATTGATAATTCTTATAATACTATTATAAATACTCACATAGTCTATAAATTTGGAAAAGTATACCGAATCACGTAGAAATAATTACTATTTGAATTAAATGCGTGATATTTCGAATAAGTTACGCCTGGTCAATGTTACACATGAAAAACCATATTTTATATGCATGAATTCAATATTTCTAAGTAGGTGATTTAAATATATGATCTGTTAGTCTTACTTGCGTAAAGTTATAATATGTAATTACGTAAATAGTCCTTGTACAATAATTATTAATTTATAATTGGATCGTTCAATGCAAAAGTGTTGCATCAAGTTAGTTTTTTGTCATTTTGTTCGACATCACATCTTAAAAATTAATCTTCGTTCAGTTTTGTAAATTTTACATCGCTCACGTAAAAGAAATATAACACTCTCTATTTTACAGAATTATTTCTCGACTCGCACTAATTTTACATTAAACAGTTCAATTAATTTGCAGTGGAATATTTTTGTGAAGAAAAAATGATACATTAACAAAACACATACATAGGTAATATGTACAATTATGAATTATAGAATAGTTATAGAATAACAATCATAATAATAATGTCCAGTAATGAATTATAGAATGATAATACAAATAAAAATAAAAATTCGAGAATCAGAAAGGTATTGACATATGAGAAAAGGTTTTTTTCTCCAGCCCTATAAAATATTTTAATGTCCTTTCCTAATGTTGATATCATTCAATAATATTCCAGCACTTACAAAAGAATATTTTGTAATTTTTCTATGAATATTCCGCCATTAAATGCAAATTAAGAATTACATTTACAAGTGGGTTAATACTTGCTTAACTCTCGAATTTTTATATTTCTTGCATTATTATTATATAACTCATTATTGAAAATTACTAGTTTATGGAACTGTTTATGAAAACAAATTTTGCTAACACGGCACACCTTTTTGACAAAGATATCGCCAAAAAACTAGATGTGCAAATATAATATTCTTAACCCACTATATACACTTCTTTGGAGTTCGTGCCGCAAACAAAATGTTTAAACACCAATAAACGATAGCACGTACGTGACCGAGAATGTTCAACATCGTTAATAAATACCGCGATAAAATTTTCCACGGAGCAGTCACAATTAAGTTAAATTATCCTCGTGACGAAAACTCGGCAATGTGAGCCTGTGTGCAGTTAATTGGAAAATTATCGCAGTATCGTTGCAACGTTGTTCGTAATAAGGCAGATAAATCGGAGATGCAACGCGGCAAAATGGCGTTCCGGCTAGTTGCTGCAATCGTTGCTGCAGATGAGCTCTCATGGATTGAGCGGACGTGATAATAATCTCTCCTCCTAGGTATTATCTCGAGCCTCTCGAGAGTTTCAGTTTCGTACAAATTATCGACTTCTTCGTGGCGATTTCGTTCCAAAGGTATTATACACGGACGTAAAGGATAATTCCCGCGTGCGAGAAAATAAATCGAAACTTATATTTGGAGTTTGATTTTTCAAGGAAATCGAATGTTAAATATTTGGCTTGAGATTGGTTGATTCCACATTGAAAAATAGATAAAAAAATATGGAAGAAAGTTATTTCACTTGAAGAACATGTATTAACATATGTTAATGATACACGTGTGCTTGATAAATTTTTGAAATCCACGAAAACGAAGAAATATCTTAGAAAAAAGAGTTTTTCTCTAGTGTTTTTTTTTTCTTTTTTTTTTTTTTTGATTGTCCTATTGTAAAGCTGAATTATAAAATGAGACAACAATTATAGTACATTCTCAACTAAATTGATAAATTTTTGTAATTTAATTGTTGCGGAAACGAAGAAATATTTTAGGAGAAAGAATTTTTTCTAATGTTTTTTGATTGTAAAACTGTATTTACTTCAAATTTCCGATTTTAGTCTGCATTTAATTTCTAACAATAAAATATAAAAGAACAATGAAACCTTCATCCATTAGTCAACAAATTTGAACTTACATTTTTAAAATTTATGTGTGACAATTTACATTAATATGAATATTTGTCAATTCTCTTAAATACATATATTATTCCTGCATACTGCAATTAATCGTCAAATTAATTATTTAATTAATATTTGAATTTTATTGGAAAGATAGTAACGCTAAGATACTAATACTATTACAAAATATTTTTTTATAATTATTCTTTTTAATAATAGCTTTACAATCGTACACTCAATAGTGATCTCTTTTAAAAATAGTTATAAAATATTTTTGTATACTATCGAATGAGTGATGAATAGATATCAAAGTTACAATTACCATATGTATTCTTGTTTCTCAGATAAAATCGTACGAAGAATTATTTCGTTCAAAAAATAAAAATTGCTTCAATGTTTTGCACACAGGATGAATCATGTGACTTTTTCAGCTTTTCACATTTCAAAATCACGAGTTCTACTAATAATAAA